TCCCTCCTCCTCTCCTCCTCCCTCCTCTCCCCCTCCCTCCTCCTCTCCTCCCCCTCCCCCCCCCACCCCACCCCCACCCCCACCCCCGGGCGGCCCTCACTCACCCACACCCTCCACCCTCGCAGCTACCTCCAACGCAGCACGCGGCGGCGGTGTGAACCTCCGCAAGCTCGACGATGCAGACGAGCCGCAGCGGATTGCTAAGGTTCAGCTGACGGTGGCCAAGAAGATCCAGCAGGCGCGCCAGGCCAAGAACATGACTCAGAAGCAGCTTGCCACCGCCATCAACGAGAAGCCAACTGTTGTCAACTCGTACGAGCGCGGCACCGCCATCCCCAACCAGGCCATCCTCTCCAAGCTTGAGCGCGCCCTCGGCACCAAGCTCCGTGGCGGCAAGAAGAAGAAGAAGACAGCTCGGACGTATGACTAGAGAGAGTGCGCCAGTCAAGAGGCCGGCTGGGCCGACCAAGCTGTAGTAGAGCGCTGGGCAGCAAAGACAGCCATCAGCAACCGCTTTATCATCACCATCACCAAACTTCCTGTTTACCCACATCAGCACTCGTCATCCAGCCATGCCACCAGCCACGCGTCGTTGTCGACTGCGCTGCTCGACGCGCCCGTCACCTGGGGCCGAGCCCCATCTTCGTGATGTTCGGTCCAGCGCCGGCGGAGAAGCTCATCAGCGGGCACCCGTCCATCGCGCCGCAATGCTGACCGCGCCATGCTAGTCCCGGCGTTCCAGGCAGCGACAGCGTCGGCATCGGCAGCCGTCCACAGCGCCGCCGCCGCCGCACAGAGGGCATCCTCGCCCGAGCATCTGCGCCGCGGTCCGGGTTGCGCCATCGCGTGGAGCTGTAGCAGATGTAAGGGTGCAGGGCGCTGCGGCCAAGGCGGGCGAGAGTCGGGCGAGAGTCGGCTGGAGCGAGGAGAGAGGCGTGCCGGTCCAGTCGGAGCCCGCAGCTCGGCCTCGAGTGCGGTCAGTCAACGGATCGGGCAGGCGGGCGGTGACCCGGTGCCGGGGCAGGATCCCGGACGGGGGCAGGGGCAGGGGAAGAGGGGGGAGGGGGGTGGCTCACACCCCACACCCGACTCGAGGCCAAGGAGGAGGGCGAGCGACCATGCCGCAGACTGTAGCATGGCTAGTCGCCGTCGCCACCGTCGCCGTCGTCCTGGTCACCGGGGCTGTCGTTGCGCAGCCTCCGCCGCCACCGACTGACGCTGCCGAGCCTCCGCCGCCCGGCGCCACGCTCTCGGGCGCTGCTGTTGCCGCTATTGCGCTCTCGGTCGCACTGGGTCTGTTGTGTGTGGTGGTGGTGGTCTGGCGCGGTGTACTTGCCCACCGCGAGCGAAAGGCTGAGCGGGCAGCGCGGGCCAAGGCCGCCGCCGCATGCCGCTATGAGGCCGGGCGCTCTCGGTCTGGCCGCCACGACGCTCGCCACCGCGATGCTGGTCGCCACAGTGGCACCGCCCATCCAACCCCATCGCTGCTCAAGGTGACGCCGCCATCGGGCTCGGTTGCGCCGGACGCGGCCTCGGGGTGTGGCGCGCACCGCGGGATCAAGACGCTGTCATCGGGCGGCGAGTCGGGCTCGTTTGCCGAGGGTCTCGCCAAGCGCGGTGGCGGGGTGCCACCGGTGCCTGGCTTGCTTGTCATTCCGCCGTCGCCGGCGGTAGGTGCCATCAGGGCCGGTGACGAGCCGTTGCCGGCGACATCGCCCACGGACACGCTCACGGTCCGGCGCGGCCCGCCACGATGGCCGGCGGCCGCAGAGACGTCGGCGGCATCGACACCGTCGTCAAGCCTGCCGATGGCAACGACGCCGACGCCTACGGCGCATCGTGATTGGTTTAATGCACCGGCACACATGCGCGACTCGTTTGAGACTGCGGCACGCGGCGGTCGCCATCGCATGCCGACCATCCCGCGCGAGCTAGGCAAGCCCTCGCCGCGAACAGGCTGGTACAAGGTGACCGACCTTGCGGCTGACTCGCTGATCACCACGGTCTGGTTCGACTTTGACGAGCGGATGAACGCGTGGTACTGGAGCCCGTACGGCGAGGCCGATTTTGAGTGCTGGATGTGTTGCAACAATGCGTGCGTCCGCCGCGGACGCCTCGTCGGCGTCTCGCCCAAGGGCACGCTCATGGCGCTCATCGGCTACCTCTACCGCAACAACCCGACTCCGCCCGGCCGCCAGCCGGTCTCGGCCCACAACCTCATCCGTGCACACCGCATTCGAGTCCAGCTTCAAGCCCAGGTCCGCGCCGGCGAGACCCGTCGAAAGGCCATGCTCGCCCGCGAGCTCGCCCGCGGCAAGGCAGCGCGCGACCTTGCCCGCAAGGTTAGCAGGCCCGATCGCCCGCTGGACTCGGCCCGCTCATCGACCCCCTGGTCCGACTCGGACAATTGGGACTCGGCCCGCGATCGGTCGTCGTCCGTCTCCGATGTGTGCTCGGCAGTCTCTTCGGCGGTCTCCGGCTCGTTTGGCGCCCAGACTCGACGTGACTCGTTTGTACATGCTCTTTCCGGTCTCGGCTTTGAGGTCGCCGTCTCCAATCCGCATCCCTCGCTCACTCTCGCCGACATTGACACTGTGGTCTTGCGCGGCGTCTCGTACACCAACGTCGAGGAGCAGGAAGTTGCGCCGCTGAGCCCAGCTGCCACACAACAGTCTCGGTCGCTGGCAGCGATCTCTACACCGCGAGTCTCGTCGCCGCTAGCTTCGCCAGCCAACTTGGGCTCACGCGGCTCGACTGGCATGTCTACTACAGACTACGAAGAAGTCTACTCGTACTACTCGGACTACGATGAAGCTGGGTGAGCGGTGTGAAGCGACGCCACCGCGCGAGCGGCTAGGCTTGCCGAGCTCGCCACCGGGGCAGCAGCAAGAAAGTCTGCCACGTCCTTGGCTGCGCCTGCGTCGATGGCTGCCGAGCACCTTTGCTGCGCCGTGTGAATCATCTCCAGGTTTTGGTGGATGCGAGCAGCAATTGTCCGCGAGACTGTGTCCTCTCCGCAGAGCGTGAGGCTGCGGGTGAGTAGTGCCTCGCTCGCGGACAGGCCGCCGAGCCGGGCCTGTGCCACCGCAAGATTGTTGAGCATTCGCCCAAGCGCGGCATCGTGTCGCTCCAGCACGTGGTCGCGAATGGCGACGCTAAGTGCAAGCGCGTTGACGGCTCGCCCACGACCATCGGTGGCGTGCTCGCTGGCGACCTCGCTGGCGACCTCGCTGGCGAGAAACTCGGTTGTGCCAAGGTGCTCCAGCGCCGCCGCTGCCATCGCCGGCGCGCATCGAAAGGTGTGGATGTCGAGCGCCCGTCGCGCGGCTTGTCGGAAGCTCGCGCACGCCGCGTTGAGCTGTCCTCTGGCCTTGAGCGCTCCGCCATGTGCCAGTTGGGCCGCAATGAGCGCTACGGCGGGCGAGCGCGCGCTCCACGTCGGCGCACCAACAGGCGGTGCGTACGCTAGCGTCTCGGTGGCGTCTGAACCGTCGTTGTATGCTTGCTGTGCCGCTGCCACTGCGGCAGCGTGGTAGTCGAGGGCAACCCGCGGCGCGACGCGCGCATCTTCCACCGAAGCCATGGCCGCATGGACGGCTGCCGCGGTGGCGGGCGCCACAAACGGCACGCCAGTGGTGGCGCTCTTGAGTGCAGCGCAGCTCGCGGCATAGGCCTCGTCCAGTGCGCCGGCGCTGGTTGCCACCACGGCCGCAGCCAATTGGAGTGGAATGGCGGCTGTCGGACCGGCGTGTGCTGCCGCCGCTGCGCGGCATGCTTCCCACTCGCCGCAGCTCATCCAGGAGGCGAGGCCATCGAGCAGTGCCAGAGCACGAGACTCGCGCTGAGAGTGCGATGAGCCGGCGCGGGCACAGTGGTCCGCCAATACCGCCGCTACCGACGTGCAAGGCCCTCCGAGACATAAATTCGCAATCGCAGCTGTGATGTGCAACGATCCGGCGTAGTCGGCACTTGGTGGATGCCGTCCGCCCAGCAGTGGTTTGAGTGCCTCGAGCGCCTCAGCGTGACGGCCGAGGTGGCAAAGAGCCACACCTTGCTCCAGCAACCGCGGCGCGCGGCGAAGGTCGCCGATCCGGACACTCGCCATGTCAACACTGTCAACGGCAAGGGCCAGGTCAAGGTCGCGCGCGAGACGTGCAACCGCAGCGACGGCCGAGATCAAGTCCGCAGCCTGGCTGTCAGAGAGGACAAAAACCGCGCCCGAGTCGCAATCATCGGCGGCGTTGACGCCGGCGCCGTATCCCATTGAGGAGACATCAAACGGCCACGGCGGTGTAGCCGGCTCGTCAAAGTAGGCTGCGTCATCGGCGCGGCCGTAGAAGAGCTGGGTGTCGAGCGCGAGCTGGGCAAGGGTGGCGATTGCACTCTCAAGGGTTGCGGCGAGCTCATCATTCACGCTGCCTGCACAGTGCAAGCTGGAGAGAGTGGCGAGCTGGGGCACGTCGGTGACCGCATTCGAGCTCGTGGTCCCGAGCAGAGCACACATCGCCCAGTTATCAATAAGCTCACTCACAAAGAAAAAACGCTCAGAGGCGAGACATAGCCGGTCGGCGTCGGCGGGAGAATGGCGGCGGATGGCCCGGCCGGCGCTTCGGCGTATGGAACCAGCCAATCGAGAGCAAACCAGGCGTCAAGCAAGGTGCGGAGGTGATCACGCGCAGCTTCGGGGCATGGCTCACCGAGCGCGGCGCGAAAAGCTTGATGCGGCGCATCCGAGCCAGCCAGCCGCAACGATCGGACGCGGCGCCAGGCCGGAAGGCCCAGGCGAGCGAGCGCCGCCGGATCGCGAGCAAGCGCCGCAAGGCTGGTTGCAGAACCCGCGCAACACACTTCAGGTGTTCTGCCCTCGCCTAAGGGTAGAGCGTGGGCGTTTGCCACACGGAGGCCCGGGGGCACAAACGAGCCGCTGCTGAAGCCGTGGACGGCCAGCGGAGTCTCGCCGAGCGCGGCGATGCCTGCGCCAAGCAAGCGCGCCACGAGGTGGACGTCCGGGCCGAGATCGCCACCGTCAATAACTAATAGCTGCAGTGTGGGGTAAGGGAAGAGGCGTTGTCCAGCGCCTGAGCCGATGACGGCAACAGAGACGGCGACATCAGCGACGGCGAGGCCGGCGGCGGCGAGCGCATCGTCGAGGAGCGACTCGACAACTGCGCCAAAGACGTGTGTCGCGTACGAGAGAAGACGCCAGGGCGAGGCGTGCGAGGCGCAAAGCGCGGCCATCGCCTCGCGGGCCGCATGGAGTTCGGAAGCCGAGGCCGACCAGGTCCACGGCGGCGGTGGCAGCAGCGGGAGAACGACTGGCGGCGCGCAGCCGAGGAGGCGCTCGGCAGCCGCGGCGGCACGCGCAGCCGGTAGCAGCGCATCAGATGCGGGGCTCGAAGAGGCAGCGTGGGTGGCGAGCGAGACAAGAATCGCGCCCGCGGCAGCAGCGGTGCTGTCCGATGCGCCAGTTCGTGACCCCCAGGCCGCCGGGCCGGGAACTGCGGCGATGCCGTCGGACACCGAGTGTGGCACGCCCGCGGCGGCGGCGGCGAGCTGGAGCTCCCACAGCGAGTCTGCGAGAAAGGCGGCAGTGGCAGACATGGCCGCGCCCTTGCCGACAACCAAGCAGGAGGGTGGTTGGAGTGGTGTGGTGTGGGTAGCCGTACATGGGTGCCTGCCGTCGTCGCGGGACGGGGGGCGTCGCGCAGGGCCACGCACACACACGTCTCGCCGGCGCTGCGCAGCCGAGAGCATGGACCGCAGGCGGGGACGGGAACCACGGCGGCGGCGCTCGCGCAGCGGGAGCAGTCAGGGTGGGGGGCGTAGCAGACACACAGAGGGCGAGCGGCATGGCGGCGGTGGTGGTGGCGGTGGTGGGCGGCGCCGGCGGAGCGACGAACCCAGCATGGGTGGCGACGATGCCGGCCCTGTCCAGGTCCTGCACACCCGGGCGAGGATGGGGTCACGGGCAGGCTCGCGCGACGACGTGACAAGGGCGCATCTGACCGGTGGCCTTGGGGCGACAAGCCCGCGACCGGGTTCGGCTGCGTCGGAACGCAGCGGCGCGCGCCCGGGGAGCAGTCGAGGCGAGCGGGCGCGGGCTAAGCGCGTGAAGCAGGTACGGATGGCGGGGTGCAGGAGGAGCTGAGTGATGCCGACAGTTCTTACAGTGTGAGAGCGGGAGGGCGGTGGTAGGAGCTCGAGATGGACAAGATGGACCCTTCCGATGATTGGTCGTACGCGCTGCTGGAGGAGGACAACTACACTCAGCTGCGCGGAATGGTGCTTGTCTCGACGCAAGGCTCGCCGTACGAGGGTGGCGTCTTTGAAGTTCTCATCGATGTGCCGGTTGGCTACCCGTACACGCCGCCAGAGCTGCACTTTGTCACGCCTGTCTTTCATCCCTACGTAGATGCGGCCTCGGGCGCGGTCTCGCTTCCCATCCTAGGCGAGGCCTGGTCCCCGGCCGAGAGCCTCTCCACCGTCCTGCAGGCACTACACGAACTGCTTGTGTTTGATGGCCTCGACGATCCGTCGTTGTATGCGGATCAGGGCTATGAGGTGCTCAACGACGAAGCTGCCGAGTTGTGGATCGGAGAGATCGACGCGTTCTGTGCGCGGGCGAGAGACGCAACTTGCATGCATGCTATCTGACTGTGGCACGTCGCGTAAACAGCGGTTGGGAGAGTAGCGCTTGTGCCATCGAGCTCCAGCGTCGTTGCTTGGTGGGTGAGTGACCAGAATGGGCATCGCGAGGACAGCAAACGGGGCCGTTTGCCTCACCAGCTGAGCCGACAAGTGCAATTGACAGAGCACAGTGTGCTCTGTCTTTGCAACATGGCATTATGCTCATAGATGTGATGCATGACGTGCAGGAAGGCAAAGACCCGAAAGCTTGATGGAATGGGCGCCGCATGCTGCTTCACAGCAAAATATACATATCATTATATATTTTTATGCATACAAATATATATGACTGTATAGCTGTGGAATGATTTTTAAAAAGTATTTGCAAAGTACAATGTTGTATATGTAAAATGTATATTTTTAGTCGTTCGGGGTTGATTTTTTGTGTTTTTTTACATTTGTTGCTTCGCATGAGTCGTCCCACCAGTTGTTGACCCTGGCCAGACACTTCAGCAGCTTTACCACCATCGAGCAACGCGCCCACGCACACATACACACACACACACACGCAGACACACAGTCTCAATCTCAACATCAGCTTGCTGCTAAAATGGTGTGTGAGAACGAGCGAGTTTACAGCAGGTCGTCGTCGCCATCGTCGGGCACGGCGATGTCCTGGAGCTTAGCGAGCTCGGCCTCCATGGCAGCCTTGGCCTCGTCGGAGATCTCGACGGTCGGCGGAGCGAGGGCCGGCGACTTGACAATCTCGAGGTTGGGTCGTCGACGAGCTTGCGGGCGAGGTAGAGGAACGGCTTCTCGTAGTTGTAGTTGTTCTTGGCCGAGATGTCGTAGTACTGCAGGTTGCGCTTGCGGTGGAAGATGATGTGGCGGGCCTTGACCTGGCGGGCCGACGAGTCGACCTTGTTACCGACAAGCACAATGGGGATGGCGTCGGTGCAGACGCGGGTCAGGTCGCGGTACCAGTTGGCGACGTTGTTGTACGTCGGGCGCGAGGTGACATCGAACATGATGATAGCCGCCTCACCCTGGATGTAGTACCCGTCGCGGAGGCCGCCAAACTTCTCCTGGCCAGCAGTGTCCCACACGTTGAAACGCAGCGGGCCGCGGTTGGTGTGGAAGACGAGCCGGTTGACCTCGACGCCGAGCGTGGCCACGTACGTCTTCTCAAACTCGCCAGTGATGTGGCGCTTGACAAAGGTGGTCTGTGCACAGTCACGCACGCACAAACACACAGCCATGGCATGTCCTCAGGTGAGTCTGCCCGACATCAAGCCATGCACGCCCGAGCTGCACCCGCCCCACCGCCGCCTCCCCTCTCGCCATCCATCCTCTTCACGGCGACCCAAAGCCAGCTGCGCGCCAGACGGCGCGCCGTCTCAAGCACAACACCTTGAGCGGGACGTTCCCACCGCGCAGCAGGTCGACCTTACTACAGTCCAACCCAAGTCATAACACAGCCCTGCACGCACGCACCAGCCTACCACCAGCGGCAAGCACCAACCGCAAGGGCTGCAGAAGGAAATGGGCGCGAAATTGGAGGCAGCCTACGCGAAGATTCGTCCATCAGCTGCGGGCGGGGTAGAAAAAGGGGGACGGGGGGTGTCCTCATTGCCAGCCTGGCGCCTTGCTTCCGCAAGCAGGTACCCCACGCACCTCGGCTGGAACGCAAACCTGGCTACTCTCGCACTCTATTGTTACCTACCTTACCAACACCGCCGTCACCGACGAGAAGGAGCTTGAACGTGGGCATGTCGTCCGCCATGTTGATACTTGGGGAGAGGGGTGCCGTCAGCTTTCGCGCCGAGCCAAGTACCGCATCCATTCTGGCTTTGCCACTCGCCGCTCGCTCACGGGCAGTCATTCACCAACCAAGCACCCGGCCCACAACGCTCCCGATCTCGTCCGCCATCCGCGCGTGCCCCACCACGTTTGGATGACCATGGCATCCGGTCTCCGCTGGCGTCAGCAGCGCCTGCTTCACAACGTGGACACGATCAAAGCCGGCGCTCGCCATCATCTCCGCCGCTAAATGCACAGACTGGTTGTATGCCATCGTCATTGGGCCGACGCCCAAAAAGAACGGCATCGCGCTCGGTCCAACGCCATACTTGCCAGCCAGTCGCTGGGCAAAGTCGAGGTAGCCACGCGCAAAATCGACGGCGTCCGGCGCGTGGCCGCAGCAATAGTCGTTTGTCCCGAGATTGACAAAGATGCCGTCCGGAATCCACTCACGCCAGCCACGATAGTCCGAGCCGGCCACTGACGCCAGCGTCCGGTTCGCAAGCTGTGGCACGAGCGCCCCCTCGGTTGCGTGGTAGTTTGTCACCAGCCCGCGGCCCGACCACGCCAGCACCATGCACTGAGCGCCGAACCGAGTGCACATCCGCCGCCAGTATGTCTCCCATGCCGACTCGATCTCAATGTTGGGCGTGCACGGCCCGGTCTCCAGCACCCGTACCCGCACGTGATCGAGTCGCCCACGATCAGCAGCCGCCGCCCGCTCCCGCTGCGGCTGCCAGCCTCCAGCCTCCCCCAACATCCAGCCCTATGCGCTCGAGCGTCACCGGAGACGGGGCGCTCACCGGCGCGTTGTAATCGGCCTCACTCCGCTTGAAGAGCTCAATCCGGTGCGCTTTGCTTTGCTCCAGCTTGGAAGCCAGCACGTACTTGCTCGTCCCCACCTGCGTCGCCAGCGCATCGGTTGCCACCTCGCCGTCCACCACCACCACGTACAGGCACGACGCACTTCGGCCCTCACCCACCGGCCAGCTCCGAGTCTCCGTCAGCTCTACCACAACCCTGCTCGTGTTGGCCACCTCCATCACAACCGTCACCCCAGGCCAGTCAAGCATCAGCCCGCTCCCTTCCTCGCCGCCAGGCGCCGCCCGCCCCACCACATCCACCTCCGGCACACTCGCAGGAAACCAGACGAGCCCATCAGAGACACGGCTATCCGGACCAGCTCCTCTCGCACACACGCCCGGGCTGAGCCCCACGACCGCCAGCATAGTCATCGCCGCCACAGTCCACAGCAACGTTGCCCGTCCAAGCTCACTCATCGACTCTCGCTGTCGCGCTGCCGACGAAAGCGGACGAAAAGTACCACCCAACAGGGCCGAGGAGCAACCGAGCAACAAACCCACGCCGAACGCATCAATGCCAAGTGTTGCAGAAAAACGAGGTCCAAAAAATAGTGGAGTTGATGCGCAATCGCTGCACGCGCCTCTCTCCTCCCATCCTTGCTCACCGTCACCTCACTCACCCTCACACGTACACACCCGACTTCGCCATCGCCGCACCCAAGTTCGCCATGCGGTTGTCGGCTACGGTACTCCTTGCGTCTTACGCTCTTCTTGTTTTGCTTGCGGCTTCTGTGTCTGCCCGCGCCGCAACTTGCCCCACGGCAATGGCCTGCCAAATCAACTCGCGCTCCCGTCGATGTGCTCGCAGCCGGGTGCCGCCACCGCCGCCGACTTTAACAACGACGGGCTCAACGACATTCTCGTCTCATGCGTTTCGGATGTGGTGATTTTTCCCGCCTCGGGTACACCCGGTGCCGTCACATTCACCAACGGTGGATCGGTCTACACCTCGACGGTCGAGTACGCGTGGCATTTGGCCACCGCTGACTTTGACGGCGACAACTTTATGGATGTGGCCATGACGTTCAACCGCGACAGGGTTGTCGTTCTCAAGAACCGCGGCGTTCTCGGAACGCCGGCCTTTGACGTGGCCATGACTGACAACGCCGACACCAACAACGTCGGCCACATCCGCATCTACGACGTCGACGGCGATGGACTTCTTGACATCGCCGTCCCGGTCGGCTACAAGTTCGGCTCACACACCGCCCGCTGGTGGCGCAACACCGGCGGCGGCACTTTTGACACGTCGGAAATCGCCATCGGCTCCATCTCACTCCCCTGGGTTCGCGACTTTGCCATGGGTGATCTCGACGCAGACGGCGACCTCGACGCCGTCGTCGTCGGCAAGTTTGGCGTCGCCGTCACCTACAACCTCGGCGCCGGCACGTCTTGGGCGCCATGGCTCCAGTTTCAGGGTGACAACTATCCCAGCGGCAACGGCGAAGGCCAAAACTTTGGCGGCGCACAGATGGTCGACATGGACAACGACGGCGACCTTGACGTCATTGCCTACCAGATCACCAACCATGGCCTGTGGATGCTCGAGAACATTGCGCCCAACGCGTCGGCTCCCGTCCTCGCCTCGAGCCTCGTCCAAGTCATCCCCACCCTCGGCTCGCCCAACTGGTCCTCGCTCCTTGTCGACTTTGATGGTGACGGCATGCTCAACGACATCATTCTCTCCAACTGGCGCGGCGCCATGGTCTCGGTCATCCACAACATCGGCCTCAACGCCGCAGGCGCATTCTCAGGCTCCATCACCACGCCCATCCGCAACACTGCTGCGCTCCTCACCGCTGACTTTGTCGACGTCGACTCGGACGGCGACTCGGACCTGCTCGTTGCTGGCCGCGACGATGACACCATCTGGTGGCTCGAGTCCGGTCGCGTCACCACCGCCCGACCTTTGCGGCCGTCTCGTTCGACTCACCCATCAGCCTCCCGCGCTCTTGCAAGACAGCCAACGCCGTGAGGACCCTTGACTTTGACCAGGACGGTGACGTCGACATTCTCGTCGGCGCCGCTGGAGGTGAGCACGCCACCCTTTTCCCCAACTCAGGCGCTGGCACCTTCCACTCTTCCATGGACGTCACCCTCTCGTCGCCGCCTACCAAGTTTGACATCGATGACGTCGACCGCGATGGCCTCCTCGACATCACCATCATCGACGAGTTTCAGGGCATCTGGATCCTCCGCGGGAACGATATCACCTCGCAAGTGTCGCCGTTTGAGTCCATCAAGCTCGCAGACATCGCCAAGCCACGCCTGGCGCGTGTCGGTGGCGCCGCCTGGGGCGATGTCACCGGTGATGGCAACCTCGACCTCATCTGGTGGGACCTCGACACGAAAACCGTCTGGCTCGAGCACAACGTCGGCCAGCCGTTTGCCGACTTTGGCACCAACTACACTGCCATCGGATCCTCATCCTACTCAAACGGCTTCTCCGAGCCGTGGATTCTCGACTACGACGGCGACGGCGATAACGATGTCGTCCTTCGCCACTCTCAGGGCAAGCGCATGCTTGTGTGGGAAAACTCTGATGGCAACGGCACTCTCTGGTCGTCCCAGGCCGTCGTCCAGACGCTGCCGAACGAGCCCAACTTTCCCGTTGTCTTTGGCGACATCAACGGCGACGGCTTTGCCCTCGACTTTGCCGTCTGCTACTTTAAGAAGTTTGTCGAGTACTGCTACTGGTACGAGCACAACCCGGCCGCCGCTGTCTGGATCCAGCACCCGCTCCTGCCCGACGGCACCGTGTGGGAAATGCACAACTCGCTTGCCGGCCTCGGCGACATCGAGGGCGACGGCACGCTTGATGTGGCCCTCCCGGTTTTCAGCCGTCGACCTCGTACGGTGTCCTGCTCATGTTCAACCCCGACGGCGACGGCTCGTTTGACCACACCACACGCTCAACCTTTATCGACTTTGGCTCACAACTCGAACCTTATGCCGCCCACATCGCCGATGTCAACGCAGATGGCGCCGCAGACCTCGTCGTCACCGCGGGGCCCTCGGTCTTTGTCTACATACAGACAATCTCGCTCGGTTTCCAATTTGGCCCGCAGACTCTCGACGTTGAGCCCACGGTCTGCGGCTACAACATGGCCTGCATTGTCGCCGCGATTTCGGCCTCGTCGGCCTGCGCCTCGTCAGTCACCGTCCGCGTTCCTGCCGGCCGCTACACTGGCTGCTTCTCGGCCCGCTCTGGTCCCTACATCCTCGACAGCATGACCCTCGTCCTCACTGCCTCCGACGGCCCTGGCTCAGTCGTCTTTGACTGCAGCGCCGACATGGTCGGCGAGCCCACCAACGGTGGCGTTCTCTTTGCCCTCTCGGCCGACATTGCCGCCACAGACGTCACCCTTCGCGGCATCAACGTTGTCGGCGGCTCTGCAAACGTCGACGCCGCCGCAAACTCGCTGATCTCCGTATCAGGTGCCACCGCATCGCTCACTCTCGAATCGGTCTCCTTCACCGGCGTCGATGTTTCCAACTCGATCGATGGATCTCGCGGCGCGGTCCTCACCGTCGCCAACGGTGCAACGGCCTCGCTCATCAGCGTCTCAGCCACCCACATCACGGGCGCTATCGCCGGTGGCTTTGCCTCCATCACCGGCAAGGCATCTTCGCTTGCAGTTGTCAACTCTACTTTTACCCACGTCTCCGCCACCACCAACGGTGGCGTCTTCTTCCTCGACACAACCAACGGTGCCTCGCTCACCGTCTCCAACTCGGTCTTCACCTCCAACTCGGCGTCTGGCGCCGGCGGCGTGGCCGCGATCAACACTGTCGATTCTGCTCTCTCTAGCCCTCCCGCGTCCTTTGACGGCTGCGTCTTTGCCGCTAACTACGCCCGCTACGGCGGCCTGTTTGCCGTCCGTGGTTTGGCTTTCCGTCGCGCCATGACCGCCACCGCCACTTCTTTCCTCCTCTCGAACCCGGCCGCCCTCCCGCTCTCCGCCTCGCCGAGCGGTGCCGCCGGCGCGTCTGCCAGCCTGGCTCTCAACAACGCCCACTTTGCCGCCGGCAACCACGCCGAGTTTGGCGGCGCGTTCTTCGCTTGTGATGCTCGCATCGCCTGTGGCAGCTATCTTGCACCTGGCCCTGCGCCTGCCTTTACCGCGGGCGCCGGCGGCATCCTCTTCTCGTGCGCGCCTGGGGCTACCGCAGGCTTTGCGCCCAACACCGTCGCTCCTTGGGTCGAGGGCTCAGGCGCTGCCACGCTCGCCGCAACCGCCTCGTCGCTTGCTACAGTCTCACGCTACGGACTGCCGGCTGCTACGGCCGTGGCGAGCCTCACGGCCGCCATCGCGCCGCCAACCACACGAATGGTCGGCGTCGCCCTCGAGACTGGCGCCGTCATCACCCGCGATGCCCACGGAGCTGTCGTGGTCGAACCCGGCTCGGCCATCACCTTTACGGTCACGCCCGACACCCAGTTCTCGCTCGCCGGCTCGGCTCCACTCACCCGCGGGCAGTCTAGTCTCTCGTTTGCTGACATTGCTGTCTATGCCGCCGACGCGTCCATCTTTGACATTTCCAGCCTCTCAGCGTCGGCCCAGATTGTCGCGACTGTCTCGGGCCCGTCGGGCCTCAGCGTAGCGTTCCCTATCACTGTCGAGCAGTGCGGCCCCGACTACGGCCTGGTCAGCCTCGACGGCAACCCACTGGCATGCGACCTGTGTCCTTCCGGCGAGGCGTCGACCATCACCTCGCTCGACCGCTGCGAGCCGGTGGTGATTTGCCCTGAGGGTTCGATTGTCATCCGCCAAGAGTGTGTGACCTGTCCGGCCGGCTCGGACCGCGCCCCGCTCTCGTCGCCGCTCTACAACAACGGCACCATCGATGGCGTGCCGCCGTGCATTTGCCTTGCTGACTACTACTCACCCGATGGCACTATTGATTCCGAGTGCATTGCATGCCCTTCGGGTGCCGTGTGCGCTGGCGGGCTCGCCGCTCCTGTCTCGTCTGTCGGTCACTACCAGCTGGCATCGGCCACACTCTTCGAATCGTGCGTCCGTCCTAACGCTTGTCCGGGTGCCGACACGTGCGCTCCCGGCTACACTGGTGTCGGCTGCCGCAAGTGCGCCCCCGGCTACTACTCGACCCCTGATCTCGAGTGCCGATTCTGTCCGGGCGTCTCGTGGGTCATGTTCTCAGCCTTTTGGTTTGTCCTTGTCGTGGTTGTCATCTCCTGGTCCATCTTCCTTGTCTGCATCGACGCTGCGCTGGTGTCGTCGCTTCCGACACGAAGCTCTGGTCGTCCCACGCTCCCGCGCTCGCGCACATCGTGGGCGATGATGCAGTCCAAGCACTCGCTGTCGCACAGGTCGCGAGTCCCGTTTGCGCTCTCGGCCACCATTGTTTTCCTGCAGGTTGTGGGTATCATCGGCACCTCATCGCAGCTCAAGTGGCCGTCGTCGTCAAAGCAAATTTACCAGCTGCTCAACCTGGCCAACTTTGACACTTCGTACCTGGCCGTCGAGTGCGTGCTCGACGACTTTGTGGTCCGCTACACGCTCAAGACCATGTATCCGCTGGTCATGGCGTTGCTCTTTATCCCGCTTGCCGGCTTGCTCAAGACACCGCTTGCGTGCTCGATCCGCCTCAAAGCCCCGCTCTCGGCAGTGCTGGAGAAGACCGTCGCCGTCCTCGGTCCCATGCTGTACCTCTCGCTCTCGCGGGCCTCGCTTGTCCTCTTTGACTGCACTCGGACACCCGAGGGCACGTACACCTACGACGAAGACCCCTCGGTGGAGTGCTTCACCGGCGAGTGGCTTACTGTCCTGCCCATCGGCATCGTCGCCCTCATCGTCTTCACCATCGGCATCCCGCTCTACCTTGGCCTGCGCATCTATCGTGTCCGCCACGAGCTCTCATCGCCGCACGCGCTCGCCATCTACGGCACGCTCTACGATCTCTACCGTCATCATTACTGGTACTTTGAGTTCTCGCGACTCTTTCAGCGGCTCCTCATTGTTGTCCTCGCACTCTTCCTCTCGCAGTGGCCTTTCTGGCAGATCATGGGCCTCTCGGCCGTCTTTGGCATTTACCTGGTGTGTCAGATCAAGATTGAGCCGTACTACGACCCTATGTACAACAAGATGGACGCTACCCTCTCTGGCATCGTCCTTGCCCTCCTCGGCCTTGGCTTTTGCTTCTACGCGGAAGAGTTCCCCACCGACGGCGTCCGCTACTTCTTTGAGATCGCGCTCTGGGGTGTTCTTGCCTTTGCGCTTGCCGCCCTCCTCCACAACCTCTTCCTCGAGCTCAAACTCAAGCGCGCTGCCCAGTCCAAGGTGAGCCCGACCAACCTTGACAGTGCAGACACCTCGGCTTCGGCCGCCCTTCTTCTTAAGCACTCGCGCGAGGCCCACGTCTGGGCCAATACCGAGTCACACCTCCTCGAGATGTACGCCGTCGACGAAGCCAGCAAGGCCCGCCTCGCCACTGCCGTCGCCACCTTCCGCCACTCGATCATGACCGGCGCTGTCTTTGTCGACAATTCGTCGCCGCAGCAGCTCTCCACCGCCGGCTCCAAGGCCTCGGTCGGTCTGGCCTCGACCGAGCTAGTGGACTCTGGCCCGCTCCCGCCACGCCCGCCGGCCGACGCGGATGCCTCGTCGTCGTCGTCTTCAGACTCAAGCGAGTCGCCGGTCACCTCGCCGTCGGCAAAGAGCTTCCCCGCCTTTTCGTCGTCGGCATCGATGTCAGTATCGGCCGCGGCCTCGCCGCGCCTCAACAAGTCGGCCGCGTCGCGAGGCAGCATTGCCTCGCGCCGCCGCATCAACGCCAGCGAACATCCGCGATCCAACGCCTCTCTTGCCCGCTAGCCTGTGTCATGTACCACACACGCGATGATGCCCATACACAAACAAAGGCTTTGAGACGGCATCTGCCATTTATTTCTTACTCTTGCTCTTCTTTTTGGTCCTGACCCGCTTCCGAGTCTTGGTCTTGGTCTTGGTCTTGGTCGAGCCCTTCTTCTTGGTCGAGCCCTTCTTCTTGGTCGAGCCCTTCTTCTTGGTCCGTACCTTCTTGCGTCCAGATCCACTGTCGGCCTTGGCCTTTTTCTTGACGCGGGTCTTCTTCTTCCCCTTACGATTCTTCTTGTTGCTCTCTGACTCGTCATCATCGTCCGAATCGTCATCCGAGCTCCCGCCGGGCCACACCGCCGGTGTCGGATGCCGCGACGAGATCTTACCGCGCGACCGCCGCGACCGCGCCTTGTGCGAGCGCGAGACGGCAGGCTCTACGAGCCGGGCCCGCTTCTTCGACTTGGACTTGCTCTTCTTCGACTTGCTCTTACTCTTCTTGGACTTGCTCTTGCTCTTTCCACCGTGCTTGCGCGACCGGGCGGCGGCAAGCAGATTGATCTCCTGCTGGATGCGCTCGGTTGCCGGGCCTTCATACAGTGCAGCAGTGTCGAGATCTTTTCCGGCCAGGTCAAACTCGCCCAGCTTGCGCAGAACCCGCCCGCGAAACAGATACGCAGCCTGCATCCGCGACCGCTTCGGGCCGAGCTGGATCGCCATGTCGAGGTCGTCGAGCGCCTGCGCAAGCAGCCCGAGCTTCTCGTAGAAGTATCCGCGGTTGAGGTAGTAGATCGACGCTGGAGGGTGCTGCAGGTGGATTGCCGTCGCGTAGTCGTTGAGCGCCTGCTGGTTGTGGTTGAGCAGGACGTGGAGCTTGGCCCGCTTGTTGTACACCCGCGGATCTTCCGGAAAGTCTTTCACCAGCTGATCAGCGTGCGCGAGATCGGCCTTGGTCGGGATGGCATCGACGCCCGAGCTAAAGAACCCAGCCTGAGTCTGCGTCTCCGAGCCCGAGCCCGAGCCCGAGCCTGAGATCGACGTAAAGTGCGTCCGCTTCTTGGTCCTCTTTCTCCGCCGCCCGCTGCTGCTCGCGCCCGACTTTGAACTCCGCCGCCGGCGGCCCTTACTCGACCCCGTGCTCTTCCGCACCCGCTTCTTGCTCCTGCCCTTGCCCTTGCTCCCCTTCTTGCCCACACTTCCACCACTGTCCTTGGCGCTCCCCACCCGCTTGCGCACCCGCTTGCGGCTAGCACCCTGCCCAGCCTCCGCCCCCAGGCACCGACGATACACACACACACACACACACACACACGCACGCACAAGACCAAAGTCCCACAACCCCACAACCCCACAACCCCACAACCCCACAACCCCACAACCCCACAGAGCCACGCCCAAGCCGAGATCGTTAGTTGGTTGGCGTAGCCCACCGGACGCTAGCCCGGCCCACGTCCACAATGCCCGACCCCCCTCCCTCTCCTCCCTTCCCCATCCCCCCATCCCCTCCCTCGCCTGAGCCACCTACCATATCAAACCTGTGCTACTCCTCCGGACCAACCCAGTCTTGCCGGACTTGTTGCGAGAGCTGGCCAGCAGCAGCAGCAGCAGCAGCAGCAGTACAAGCCAAGAAGCTCTCTGGAACAGACAAACGAACGAACGAACGAACCAACCAACCAACCAACCAACCGACCAACCACTCAAACGGCTAGCCATTCGCCCTGCTGCCACCGCCAGCCATCACAGGCAACCGCCCCTCCCCCCCCCTTCCCGCGACCCAACCCTCCACCCACCGCACTCGCACCCATGCCGTCGTCCTCCGACCGCATCCGTGCGCTCATGTACGCACCTTTGCCCATTCTCTTCCCTCCCTCTCCAGTCCCCCCGCACTGTACTCCCGTATTCCCCCTCCCCCGTCCCCCCCCCTCCCCCCTCCACACCAGCCACCATTTTGCCGTTGGCTGCTCGCCGCCACTCACGCCACACCCCCCCCTTCTCCCTCGCTCCCCAGTGCGGAGGGCAACCGCCGCCTGGCCCGGACGCAGCCTGGTGCACGCTCGGGCTCGCGGTCATCGCAGTCGCTCACACCCAACACGGTCGACGACCCGGAGCTGGGGCGCAACGAGCAGTATGCCGCCATGGTCCGGGACCTGCGCCGGCAGGGTGCACTCGCCCGCCGCAACCAGCTCTCCGACTGGGCCTTTGCCTTTTACGGCCACCTGCAGTCGCTGCTGACCACCCTCAAGGCGTCAAAGCGGTCCCGCGCCCTCGACGCAGATGTCACCGCCGTCTACACCTGGTACGACGCCAACCGCGGCGCCGAGGCCTCGTCGCTGCAGATTGGCGGCCTCGGCCTCGGCCTGTCCTCGCCCTCGCCTCCGCCGTCCTCAACCACACACAACCTCTCACTACCTTCGGCAGCTTCGCCAAGCAGCTCGCCTGCCACAGGCACTCCATTGCAGCTTCGCGAGCCATCGTCGCCCGCCCTGCCGGCGCGCGGCGTCACTACCGCCACCACCCCTGCCGAGGGCTTTGGCAACCTTGTGCCGTCGCCGCTGCACGAGACCATTGTCCGCGGCTCGTCTACCTGGGCCCCCACACCCGAGGCGCAGCACGCCGCCCCGTTCACGGCCGCCGCTGGGTCGCCGGCCGCCGCCACCACGCCAGCCGCCACGACATCGTCGGGTGCCGCTGCCGGCCACTCCTCACACTCGTCACACTCGTCACACCCCGCTGAGAGCCATGTTCTCGGTAAGCCGGCGCTCACCATCCCAGACTCCATTGTTCGCCCTAATATGGCCCGGTCAGCAATCGGCGACCAGCGGACAGCCTTTGACTCTTCGTTTACGGTCGAGTATGCTGCCCAGGACGAGGCCGAGGCTGTGGACCATGCTGCGTCAACGTCGATGGTCCGCCGCCGGCACGACACTACCCCGTCGGCCCGCATCAAACCGGCTCCGCTTGTCGATGCCACCTACATCGAGTACGACCGCAGATTGCACGAGCTCATCAAGGCCACCGGCGGCGTCTCACTCGGCATGGCTTCACCGCGCGACTCTCATCATCCACTTCCGCCGACCGTGCCCGAGGCATTGGCCCACGCCTCCGCCACGGCTCGCCCCAGCTTGACCGCCCGCCGCGACCGTAAGTCGGTCGCTGCCCTCCGCCTCCGCGCCCGCCCGTGGTCAGCGTCGGCCTCCCGGGACACCGCCGCTACCGTTGTCGCCTCGACTCAATCCGAGTATCAGGCTGCGTGGGAAGCACCACAGGCCGAGTCGGCCCACGACATGCTCAAGCACTACAAGCAGCGCAACCTGATGTCGTCCTACCTCCAGCGCGAAGCCATTCTCAACCCCAAGCCGCCTAGCCCATCGCCGCCTCAGCCGTCAATGCGCGACGACCCAGGCCTGCTTCCGGCCACCTCGCTGCTTGTTGCCCAGAAACTGGGCTCGCTCCCGCCCGGCGCCTACGTCGCTCCTTCGCCGCATCTCCTTGTCACTCTCGAGAAGCAGCGACAAGCCCGGACTACCGCTACAGGCACGGCCTCTAACGCGGCCGCTCCCGCTCCCACCGCTACCTCTGCCCTGCGCCATCGGCCAGGCACAGCCTCGCGCTCTATTCGGTCGGACGCTTCTGCTGCTACCGGTCAGCAGCGCGCGCGCCCGACCACTGCGCCGCTGCGCCCGTCTGTCTTCGACCCACCTGCCGACGAAGAGGACGGTGACGAGGCCTGGCTCCGCCGCAAGCTTCTCGACGCCGAGCAGGGCAAGTACCTCAACGACTTGGCCCAGCGTGCCAAAGGCGCTGCCCGCGCCCGCGCCCGTGCCGAGGAAGAGTCGATGCGACGCATCGAGTCCCACACCTACGCCTCGCAGACAGGCGGCGCCACCCACTCGCTGTGGAAACCAGCTGATCCGGCGCTGCTTGACTACGACATGGCGCCGCTCAAAGAGCGCCGCCGATTCGGGTCACGGAGCCCCGAGGCATCGTTCGAGTCACACCCCACCAACTCACCCGGCAGCGCAACATCGCCAGCCAGGCTTGATGACGACAACGACGACTCGGACGACGACAAGTCAACTCTCTTCGACGACTCGTCCAACTCGATCGAGTCCGATAAGCGCGCTACCGATGCCGCCGCCGCCAAGCATGTCACCATCATTTCCAATCTCGAGGATCTCGCTTCGTCGGAATCTTCAGATGACGACGAGCTCCGTGGCGAAGGCGCCGCCGCCTGGAACGCCGCCCAGGCTGCCCAGGCAGCGAGCGATGCTCAGCTTCCGATGGTGGTGGCGACAGGCCCGGTTGTCACCCGCACGCCCGATCGTGACCCCGAAGCCCGCAAGCATGCCGTCCTCAAGGCCATCCGTGACAACCGCGTCCTACTCTCTGCCTACGAGCATGGCGCGGCTGCACGCGGCGCACAAGGCGTGGCCCAAGATGCTCCCGACATTCTCGGCGGAGACTCGCGACCAAGCACCGCCCATCAACGACCCGAGACAGGCTCAGATCGTTGGCGCAAGTCCTCGACCGCAAGCTCGGACGCATCCGCGGTTCCGCCGGCGTGGTCTGCCCCGCCGCAGTTTACGCTTCCACGACCGGCAACGCTCTCGCACGATCCCCCCCCACCGCCGGTCCCGCCGGCCATCGCCGACTACATCCAGGAGCTGCGTGAAGAGCGCGAGGCCAAGCGTGCTGCAAGGCTCGCCCGCCGCAAGGCCAAGGCCGCCGCCCGCAAGGGCGGCCCCGCTGCAGCCGCCCAGCTCGCCGCCGAGCTGGCCAAGGCAAACCGCAAGCGCCAGTCGTCGGCAGGGCGCAACCGCAAGCCCAAAAGCCGGCGGGCCCGCCAGCCCGAGCTGGAGCCTGCCCCATCGCTGGAGCGCATGCGCCAGCACGAGGAGGTCTACCGCATCCAGCAGACTTTTGCCATCCACGACGTCCATGTCGAGCCGGCGGTGCTAGAAGCTGGCCTTCTCGTCCCACAAGACCGTGACTATGTTCACTGCGTCAAGTACCTGCCGGCTCCGGGCTCAACAGCTCGGCTGCTTGCCGACCCCGTCAAGGCGCTGGCTGATCAGCGCAAACGTCGCTCCAAAATGTCCCGTGCACAGCGCCGCCGCGCTGCCAAGGCTGCTCCGCTCCCACGGTATCCGATGTCGGTAGCTGCTCGTGCCGAAGCCGCCCGTACCGCCGCCCTCGCCGCTGCCGAGGCCGAAATGGCCGAGGCCGCCGCCCTCGCCGCCGCTCCGGCTGACCTGGCTGCCGCTGGCCCCGCACCACCGACCAAGGGCCGCCGCCGCGGATCGCGCAAGCCGTCGTCGGTCAACACCCGCCGCCGCAAGATCCGCACCTCCTTATCGTCGCCTGCTCGTCCGTCGTCGCGTCCAGCTGGCTCGGTCACCGACATGGATGCCAACGTTGCTGCTGCTGCTGCTGCCACCCGCGCCGCCGCTGCCGCTGCCTCGCCCAGCCGTCGCCGTCGCAAGCGCGGCACCAAGAACTCATCACCGCGCAAGCGCAGGATCCGAGGCGTTAGCCGGCCCACCACTGCGTCGAGCTCCGCCAACGAGAACCGCCATGGTGCCGCCAACCGCGCCGCAGCTTCCCCACCGCCGCTCATCAATGTTACGGCCGAGTAGCCAGTCTGGAACTCTCACGCCCAAACTCGTTGACGTCCTCGCGTTTACAGTGAATCTACCGCGCATCAGTCGGCAGACGCGCCTTGAGATACTCAAAGGTCGTGAACGAGATGGCGACCGACGGGACGACACGCATGTAATTGATGGAGAGGCCGCGGAAGAGCGAGAGCGGGCCTTCCTTCTTGATGAGGTGCGAGAGGAGCATGGTTGCTGACATGTGCTTGGTTCGAGAAGAGAAGGCTTCCGACTGCGAGGCAAAGACCGGTGAGCCCATCAGCTGGGCCCGCCGGCGAAGCGAGTCGATCGGATACGTGACGGTCTGCGAGACGAGTCCGGCTATCGCGCCACACGCGAGCGAGGCTACCACCGGGAGCGGCTGCCCAGCCGGAAGTAGCTCGCGTGCCTTCTCCTTGAGCGTGTCAAAGGTAAAGAACGAGAGGCCGGCGTAAGGCACAATGCCCACTAGCGTTGGCGAAAGGCCTTTGTACAGGCCACGAATGCCCTCGCTCTGCGCAGTCTTGAACAGGCACTCGCGAATCGAGGTGTAGGCATGGACCTCAACCTGCGACGCGAGCCGCGCCCGAACTAGATCCAGTGGATATGTTGCCACCACCGAGGACATGCCGGCCAGCGCGCCAGCAGCAAGCTTGACCAGCGGAGGCGTCGAGCCGGTCAGCGGCGAGTCATCGCCGCCGAGCAGAATACGCTTGTACTGCTCGTACGACATGAACTGGACTGCAGCATAAGGGAAAATGCGCACCATTTGCGCTCCGTTGCCTTTGTACAACCCACGCAAGCCCTCCAGCCGCACAATTTGCTTGAGCGTGGCCAACACGCCCGGGGAACCGGCAAAGCGTGGATGGTTGACCTGAAACAGGATCTTGGTCCGGTCCAGCGGCGCAACAGCCGACTTGGCCATAGCGCCCGCACAGCCACCGGCGAGCAGCGATGACGCAATGGCAGTCCACGTCCGCTTCCGCCGCTCAACATCGCGGCGTGTTTCGTCGGATACTGTGCCGCCGTGCCGCAGCGGCCGCGGCGGCAGATGTGGATGGTTCTGGTGGAACCACGGCTGCTCATCCCACGGCTCAAGCGCCGCACGCGAGACGTTGTACAGAAAGGCAACAATGTCGGCATCGACTTTGCGCGCCGCCCGCATCACCGCCACAAAGCCGCCCAGATCCAGCTCCACATCGTCGCCGTAGACGACTCCGACCTCGCCAGCCTTGGCCAGCGCTGCCTCGGGCAGGGCAGCGGCGTGAGGAGCTAACGCCGCGTCCAGCTCGCCTAACGAGACCCGGCCTTTGGTGTTGGCGTCTAGGACCTGGAATACCCACACCGCATGCCGCTCCCATGCCTCGTCTGCCCATGCCTCGTCTGCCCATGCCTCGTCTTGCTGCACATCGTTCCGCCGCGCCTGGGCCTGCCGCGTCGTCGGGTCCTGCCGCACCCCGTCCTGCCGCACCTCGCCGCCTGGTTCCCTCTCCACGTCTACCATCGCAACTCGCCGACCGGTGGACGGTGAAGATGTGTGGGGAAGGGGGGGGGGGGGGA